TTTTTTTTTTTTTTTTTTTCCTTTTCCCCTTTACCATTTTAGTAATGGCAACATTACAGCTACCAGCCACTAATCTGGCCAACTTGGCAAATTTGCCTCCTGGCACCAAACTCTACCTTACAACGAACAGCAAGAACCCTTCAGGAAAAGGAAAACTGCTGCTGATCCCTCAAGGAGCCATCCTACGAGCTACCAACAATGCTAGTTAGTTCATCATTAAATCTTTGGTTCTTGGGCTTCTGGGTATGTTCATTTCACCCACCCAGGGGCAGCTCTTACCTGTTTCAAGAAGCATTTCCATAGCTCTGTGTATGATGGTAGTATTTGATGGTATGATGGTAGTATTTGCCCACATGGATTTAAAACATACATATAATTTAACTAGAAGTAGGCTTAAATGATCGTAGTCCTAGGAGGTGATACTGTTATTTTGCATTTATCTACTCAGAGTTTGGGATCAGATACAAAGTACATTGGAGAGGTATGGCTACTGAAGGTGTGTTGAGAGAAACCTGTCCATGTGAACTGTAAACAAAAAAGAGTTCTTCCTTTTCAGTGATACCTAGAAATTTGACACCTGTGGAGAAGTTAGCTGAGAGCCTATATTTATTTTGGAGGGGATAGGAATAGGAGTGGAATCAAGTGTCTCTGCCTGCCATTATTTAGATGTGCATGTTAAGTTTGCTAGGTTTGGAGATGGAAAGAGAAATAGAGAGTCAGCCTTAGTGTACAAGCCTTAAAACCCCAAGGAAATTAGGTGGTTTATCTAGATTGACAAACTTTTGTTTTGACATATAGAGAAAACAATTTGGTGTTGGAAAGGAAACGGTAAAGGGAATTATTTCCCTCTCAATCAGAAGTAAAATTGGTATAACCTCACACCGGTCAGAGTGGCTAACATGAACAAATCAGGAGACTATAGATGCTGGTGAGGATGTGGAGAAACAGGAACCTTCTTGCACTGTTGGTGGGAATGCAAACTGGTGCAGCTGCTCTGGAAAACAGTGTGGAGGTTCCTCAAAAAATTAAAAAGAGAACTACCCTGTGACCCAGCAATAGCACTGCTGGGAATTTACCCAAGGGATACGGGAGTGCTGATGCATAGGGGCACTTGTACCCCAATGTTTATAGCAGCACTTTCAACAGTAGCTAAATTATGGAAAGAGCCTAAATGTCCATCAACTTATGAATGGATAAAGAAGATGTGGTTTATATATACAATGGAATACTACTTGGTAATGAGAAAGAATAAAATCATGCCATTTGCAGCATTGTGGATAGAACTGGAGGGTATTATGCTAAGTGAAATAAGTCAGAGAAAGATATCATATGTTTTCACTCATATGTGGATCTTGAGAAACTTAACAGAAGACCATGGAAGAAGGGAAGGGGAAAAAAATAGTTAACAAACAGGGAGGGAGACAAACCATAAGAGACTCTTAAATACAGAGAACAAACTGAGGGTTGATGGTGCAAGGGAAGAGGGGAAAGTGGGTGATGGGCATTGAGGAGGGTCCTTGTTGGGATGAGCACTGGGTGTTGTATGTAAGCCAGTTTGACAAATTATGTTAAATAAGATTTAAAAGCCCCTCCCCCCCCAAGTATAATTGGTATAATAGGTTCACTAAAAATTAGCCACTCGTGCCAAAATGTAGTGTGTGAGCTAGTCACCATTTTGTTCACTAACTATAATGGGTGATTTCTGCTCTCTCACCCTGGCATTTTTTCCTCCTACTTAAGCTGTAGTATATAAAAGATATGTAAGAAAAGGACAATGTGAGTATTCCACAATTCACCCAGAGAGCTATTTAGGTTTTAGTTTGTGTATATTATGTCACCAAGTGGGAAGTAAAAAAAAATTCAAAGGCTTTAGGGGCGCCTGGGTGGCGCAGTCGGTTAAGCGTCTGACTTCAGCCAGGTCACGATCTCGCGGTCCGTGAGTTCGAGCCCCGCGTCGCGTCAGGCTCTGGGCTGATGGCTCGGAGCCTGGAGCCTGTTTCCGATTCTGTGTCTCCCTCTCTCTCTGCCCCTCCCCTGTTCATGCTCTGTCTCTCTCTGTCCCAAAAATAAATAAAAACGTTGAAAAAAAAAATTTAAAAAAAAAAA